TGATGGAAAGCAGATCTTCACTGGTGCATTTTTGTGCAAATTCCTTACCTTTCTGTTTATAAAAGAAAGTGAAGACCTTTCAGGGCTATTTGTCACTAAGCTCCAGTAGCCAACAATGAACATTGTCAACTGCTTAAGTTTTCACAACCTAATTAACTCTTCTAGAAGCAGGAGCCGCCTTCAAACACAAAGCTCTCCATTTAGTCCCCCTCATTCCATTTGACTCGGTCCCACTTGTTGAAGCTCTAGTTTGGAGCTATTTCTCACACACAAAGAATAACCAAGAAGGCTTTCTGCAGGACGAATGAATTATCTACTTCAGTTGAAGCCTTTTTAGAGGATAACAAAACAAAGGCAGTCTTGCCCAAATTCATGTATAAATGTTGAATCTTTTCCCACACACACTTACGTCCTTCATTCCCAAGGTGAGATTCATTTTCACTTAATCACTAATGATATTTCCCAGCCCTTGGTTGAGGGTTTCCAGATCACACATGCATACAGTATCTCCATGTATTAGTAATGATGAGCTTTATATAGAATCATTATTATTAGAAAAGTGGAGTTTTATTTTATATACTTGTATGATACAGGAGTTTGTAACACAATTCATTCCATAACAACATAAATAACTACTCAGGTATCCTATAGCTATTATGCTACTGTCCACTTTAATTGAGAGACATTCTATTGGTAATATTTAGCATATACCTGTAATATTGCAATATTGCAGTTTTACTCACTAATGTGCAGGGTTCTTGATGCATTTCACAGGAGAAAAAGTAAGGGATGGGAAAGTTAAGTCACAAGCCCCAAGTTGTATTCTGCAGACATGTGAAACAAGCTTATTTCTAATGTAAATTAAAAAATAGAAAAAAAAGAAACTCAGAACAATCTTGACTTGAAGCAAGAAATCTTTTGACCTAATGACTTTAGGATACTCTACTCATAATAGAGAAGAAATCTGGATGTTCTCTCAGGCAAATTCATTCAGAATACTTTCAATAATCTATAGGAGCTATTAGGATAGAGTGGATGAAGAAGCACTGATGGGAGATGCCATTCTGTAAATATGTCTCTCTTATTCGTTGATGAATAAAACACTGTTGGCCAATAAGAAAGCAAGATAGGCAGGACTAGGAGAGAAGGAGGATTCTGGGAAACGTAGTAGGAAGTCACTATGTGATACTGGGAGGAGAGGACTCATGAGTCTGGCATTCTCAGTAAGATAAGACCATACATATACATATATATATGGTATATGTATGATATATATATATATATATATCAGTAGTTATGGGTTAATACTTAAGACAGAGCTAGCCAATAAGAAGCCCTAGATATTGGCCAACAGCATTGTAACTAATAGAGTCTCCATGTGTTATTTGGGAGCTCTGAAGTGGCTATGGGATCCAGGCAGAAATCCCACAACAAGGCATGGTGTGCCTGGCTCTCTTCAACACATGGTTCTGATCTCATTCTTGGCTATACTTAGGCACCATTCATTGGGCAGGTATCCAAGTCCACTTCTATAATATTCCCAACTCAACCTGTATACCCAAACCATTGTCCACTGTGCAATCATCTGACTTTTACAACTCAAATCCACTGTCGAAGATTTTTTTAATCCAGTTATCTACCAGTTCTTTCTAATTGTCTATAATGCCTATCATTAATTCCAGTTCGGAGGAACATTGAAATTATTGGGGCAGTCAACTGAAGGACTAACCATAATGCAATATAGATTCAAGTATAAGTGTTTGTCACTAGTCCTGGGACTACTTGGTTACAAGCCCAACTAAAGCCGGGAAGAGATAATCTCCCTTCTGTGATTCAGATGCAGGGAAAGAAAGGCTCTCTTTCTTTATAAAATTCTTAAGGACTAGTGGCTAGGATTCATAAATGGAGTCTTTTATAACTCAGGTCATCTTTGGCAGTTTCTTATCAGCTGACCAGGAAATTCAAGAGCAACATATAGTTAGTTTGCTCAGTAAACCTAGGGAGGAGATTATGATCTTGAAGTTAAATGTGGATGGTCCTCTTTATTCAGGACCATTTAGAAAGAAAAGCTGAACTTAAGTACTGCTTGCTTGCTGTTGTTAAGTGCAGGAAATAATGGGCAATGATCTTTCTTTCCTAAGTCTATACTTGGAAATAGTGACTCACCAGTGTCGTTCACATTTACTGAGACTCATAGAAGAATACACTTTCCAGGACTATCAAGTGGGAACTGAATATAAGAAGCAGAACAATTGTTACCTAATGTTCTCACCCAGAAGAGTGATATTGCTTTCTTCCTTGAAGCCCTATCTGGCTATATCTTTATTCTAGCTGATAAACACTGCTACATCTTTATTCCAGCTGAAAAACACTGCCAAAATATAAAGTGGTAACTATATATAGATTTTTTTCACTGAGCTTTGATTGAACTATCCAAAGAGCAAAGGGAACAGAAAAATGAAAGAACTCAGAATCATAAGACTGTCTAAATAAACTCCACCTTCCCCATGAAAGTACAGCTTAGAATGGATATTATTGAGACAGTTAATCCAGTAAAGAAGGTAATTAAGAGAAGGTGAAGCTCACCAATGATTAAATGAAACATCAGGGGAAATGCTCAAAGAGGAAGTGCCCTTTTACAGTTTTGGTGAGAATAAAGGAACTTAGTACCAAACACCAGGAATAGGCAAGGCTGGCCAATGGGACTTCTGCCAGGGCACAGGTAAGCAGAGGCTTGTCAGCCCTACAAAGGACATGCATGTGTGGAAACCAAGAATATTGATAGGAAGACAGGCATACCAAGTGCAAAGATAAGGACAAATTCAAAGCCAGTTGGAGGTGACCTGGCCTGGCATCAGATCACTAAGATGCTGGGGACTTGGTGATTTTAACTGAGTGGTTTTTTGTTTTGTTGCTGACTTTCTGTGACTCTAGTTCAGAACCCACTGCTCTTGTGAAGAAACATAAACTGACAACCAAAAATCCATTTGCCTGTAGAAATGACACTTTCAGGTACCAAGTGGGAACCCGAGAAAACACAGAATACAAACAGCGTTACTAAGGTCAAGCAACATGCTCATTTGCTAGTGTATGTGGGAAAGTTAGAAGAACATAGACATAGGTTAGCTTACATAAATTAGTGACAGTACAGAATACAAAAGCCGAATTGTTAGTATATGAGTTTTTACTCACTTTCAAAGTACAAACATCCTCCCTTAACTAAATTTATAACTACTTTTTATTAAAAGAACAAAAAAAGAAAAAAAGCAGCTCTCCATGTGGTGAAATGCCAGTAAGCAATCCAAAATGCTGAAGAGAAATGAAAGCAACTTCAATGACAGCATAGAGCAGTGTTGGAGGAAGGAAAAAAGAGGGAGGAATAAAAAGGATTAGACAGACTATAAGAATGGTGCCTAAGGTCAAAAATGGGAGGAGAAAATATAGACTATCAAGTTATTTCCAGGCATTCTGCTAAAACTCACTTTGTGGTGGTTGTTTTTAAAAACCACAAATTACAATTTCCCCCTGAAAAGCTTAACTGCTAGTATCCCCCACTTCAAACACGGATCCCTTTTACTGTATTTGTGGACTTCACACCTTTCTTCACTGCAGGGTGCTTAGCTCCATGAGGTCAGGTTGCTTGTTTTTGTTCACCACTGAAGTTCCTACCTCTGGAACTTTGCCTGATGCTGTAAATGCTAAATAAATATCCTAGGGAGGGAGGTGGAAGGAAGGAGAAAAACCAGGAAGGGAAGGAAGGAGAAAGGAGGAGAGCAGATAGCATGGAATTTTAAGTAATAATCCAGATCCCTAACTTCTAAACAACATAATTTGGTGTAAATTATTTATAAATATTTTTGAGAGAACATTAATATCACTGATGCACCCAGAATTATGGCATGTGCAAAAGAATAACCCATGTAGTGGAATAAGAGATCCGTTTATTGATGTGACAGAATTTGAAGATCCCCCATGGAAGGCCTCACCCTCCCTGGGGAGCAGAAGGGGGATGGGATTGGGGGTTGGCGGGGAGCATGGGAAGATGGGAGGGAGAGGGAACTGGAATTGATATATAAAATAAGATTGCTTCTAATTTAAATTAAAAATCGAGGCTATAAAACAAAAAAGAGATTCATTTATAACATTTGGAAAATAGTTCACATAGAACACTAATTTAACATGGAAAACATTAGAATTTGGACAATGCTCAGACAAGTGAACCAACTGAATAATTAAATAATGCAAGATTCGGTGAATGTAAATACTAAGTATTTTGATATTAGCCCTTCTTCGTTTTTCTTTTTTTTTTGTTGTTGTTGTTGGTTGTATTGTTTTGCATTTCTGTGCTTTGTACTTGATTAGAATTCTTGTAAAAGAAGCAATTGAAACTATCATTACAGTAGCCCTTGGAAGACTAATAAAGCACCAGGTCCAAGAGAAGCGTGACATTAAAGTATAGTCTTAATTCAAGAGATTTGAATATTTAATCCCAACAATATCATCAACCACATAGATTTAATATCTTTAACCATAAGAGGAAGTAATGAATCATATTTTTTACTCACTCAAATTATAAATATTTCCTATTTATAAAAATAAATATAAAACCAAGGTTATAGTTGATTACAAATAAGAACTTCAGGAAATCAGCAACAATAGCATGTCTTATTATACAGAGATATTTTTCTTTTTTGATTTTTTAAAATAATATTTTATCATATTTTCCTTTACCCAGTTCTACCTAGTTATTCCCCTACTCACCCAACTCCATGTTCTCTGTTTCTTAAGATGCACGAACCAAAAGGAAAAAGCAAAAGGAAAATAAAAAAGATAAATATCAACCATGCAGTCCTTTTTGTATTGGCGAACTACCCCTGAGCTAAGCCTGCCCTGAAGTGTGTTAATACTTCCAAGGGTCACTCCATTAAAGAAAGCAAATTTTTCCCTCTCCTAAAGGTTTTCAATTGCCAATATCTTATTGGTTAGGGGTGGGACTTTGTGTCTACTGCCCCTTTTCAGTGCTGGGAATTTTTTCTAGTTTGAACCTGTATGGGTCTTCTCAATCTGTATGAGTTCATATAAAAATAATCCCTGTTTGGTCTGGAAGACACTGCTTTCTCGGAGTCATCCACTGCCTCTGGCTCTGAGAATTTTTCCACCTCCTCTTCCTTGTTGATCCCTGAGCCTTGAGAGGAGGGGTTCATGAAGACATCCCATTCAGAGCTGAGCGCTCCAACATCTCTTACATTCTGCACATTTTTCCATGAGGGTCTCTGTATCATGTAAGAAGCTGCTTCTTCCATGAGAGTTGAGGGAACGCACCTGTCTATGGGGAAAGCAATGTCATTAGGAGCTATATGGTTTCCGCGCTCATTCAGCAGACCTAGGTCTGATTTTTCTTCCATGTAACTTAATAAGTTATATTTTGCTACTTGAAAATTTTATTTAACTGAAATTTTAGACTTGAACAACAACAACAAAAAAAACAAAAAACAAATGGCCCCAAGGATTAATGGTGATCATAGAAATGTTAGTTATCTGGCAATGTGACCACACACCTATACCTATCTCAAGTGACCCTCACCACAATCCTGTAGAGTCTAAGTTTTGTATCTAACTTCTAACAAGAAAACTGAGATTTAGAGTACTTCAGAAAGTTGGCCATAAATATCCAGGTAATAAAGGATGAAACTACACTTTGCACCCAGATAACCTTGTTAACTATAATAATGACCTGCCTGGCAATATAGCCCCACTGGCGCTTGTATAAGGATGCACAAATATATAAAGATAATCTGCAGAGTTTGTTTTTATTGGTGATTTGTACATTATTTCGGGGCAGACCACTTTGTACTAGATAACTAATTAGGAGATTTATCCCTGGAGAGTTTAATTTCCCTCTCTCTCATTAGTCAGATGTCACCCATAGCTCTTTGTCTAGGCGTAGGATATCATGAGGTGTTGTTTCCCCATTTCTTACCATGTCTATTGATGTCACCATTTTTCTGGTCATGTATATGTAGCCATTTCTAGGAGAAACTTTCATAGCAGACTTCCTGGTATTCTGGCTCTTACAATTTTCCATCCTCTCTTCCATGATGTCCCTGAACAATAGATGCAGGAGTAATTAATAGACCTACTAAGCTTTGATATTTATGAACTACAGCAGTGACTATCGTGGTAAAATAGCTACAAAGGTACAATAAGGGGTACTTGAATGTTAGTGGTAACCAACAGCTGACTAGCTGGATTTATGACCCACTCAGTAGGACAGCAATCATGTCTGGTACTAGAAACTTGGCAAACTTCCCAAGGCTAGTGAGGTCATGGATCTTACAATGGAATCTACTACTGCCACTTTGCTAGACCAGCATAATTCCTAATTACATGCCACCTGTGGTGGCCTATGACTTTAATTCCAGCATTCAGGAGGCAGAGGAAGGCAGATCCCTGAGTTCAAGACCATCCTGGTCTACAGAAAGAGCTCCAGGACAGCTCAGGCTACCCAGAGAAACCTTGTCTCAAATAATAAAATAATAATAATAATAATAATAATAATAATAATAATAATAATCTCTTATTCTTATACCCACAGATAAGTAACTACCACCCCTCATCAAAAAAATAAAGACCATCACAAAAAAAAATCCAACTGGACACAATGTAGACATCAACAGATCATGAGGAGTCCTGCCCCAATGAATACATCTATTTGAAATTCCTTAGTGAAATAAATAAAAAAGATCTGTAAGTGTATTAGTTATTTGTTTCTTTGACTAAATTCCCCACAGAGACTATTTAAGAAAGAACTTGTTGTGGCATAGATACATCATAACAGTAGGGAAGGCATGGCTGCAGGATAAGGTGATCACATTGCTTTGGCTGTCAGAAAATGGAAAGCAAGCAGGAAGTGGTCCCTAAAATCCACTGCCCATGACCTTCTTCCTCCAGAAAGGCTTCAACTCCTAAGAGTTCTACATCCTTTCCAAATAGGGCCACCCTCTAAGGATGTGAACCTGTTGAGAGGAATTCAGCCACTTCAATAGTGATAGACTCAGATCCACAGTTGCTGAATTATGAAGTAGAGATTGGAAGAGGTACAAAGAACCACGAGATATGATGAACATTTTCACATTGTTTTTGTGGTGGTGGTTTGTGTACATGCATGGTTTTCAAAACTCATTGAACTAGAAACTCGTTCCTTACTAGTTGTCCACCAAATGTGGGGAAGTAGGAGCATCCCTTCCAAGATGCAGACAGTGAAGACCCAGAGGCAATAAATAACTACAAGAAACAATATTTTCTGGACAGAACAGAGCAACTGAAGACATGAGCCCACAGTGTTATGACAAGATGCACAAATCCTGTGTAAGTTCAATCCACTGGTAAAAAAAAAATGGTCAGCGCTGATGGGGCAAGTTAGGTATCATAAAGTTCCTCCCACAGCTGAGGAGACGGTGGTGATTGACATGTGATAGTAGAGGGAGAATTAGCTTTCTTCCTTTAAGGATATGACATCTCATATGTATGACATACTCCAGCAGATGGCCATTTACCTAAAGTATATAAGCATCATTAACAGGACTCAAAGAGTTTTGAAAAATTGAAAACACAAAGTTTGTGGGTATGGAATGGGGGGTAACTTTGGGAGGACATTAGGATGAACATGATCAAATGAAATGTGTGAAAGTCTCCAAGAACTAATAAAATTTTTCAAAACACACATTGGCTTTATAAAAACACGTTGGCCTGTACTTATAAAGACATATTGGCCTGTGCTTATAATACCAGTACTAGGGAGGCAGAGACGATTATGTCACCAAGGTATGGTGATACCAGTCCATTTAGACTACTTGGTTAGTTCCAGGTCAATAAAAGACCTTGTCTCAAAAAAAGAAGGAAGACCTTGTCTCTTCAGTGGAGCTGATGCCTGCATATGCATGTATACAATATAAAATACACTCTCACACACATATATTTACTTAGTATATATAATATTTGTGAAGCATTTAAATAAATGCGGTTTTAATGGCTTAGCAAAATGTTAGTATAATTTTCTAACAATAAAAGAACTGAAGTTACTTCCCAATAGCATCCATTTATTTGTCCCTCAGTTTTCAAAAAACAAAGAATTGGAGGATTCTCTTCTTCAAAGAAATACCTAGAAAGGAATTCTGCCTCATCTCCAACTTTCTAACAGCTACTTCAATAATGAAGTTCATTTTTCTTTGCTATCAAACATTACATGAAAATCTCACTGCTTTTCTTTATTGGTGAACTTGTTGGCCTTGCTTGTCTCTACCAGTAGTATATGGAAGTGTAAGTAGAATAATGCCCCACAACATCCTACTTCAACAAAGCAGACACCAGAAGAATTCATTTGGGAGGATTTCCCATTAATTTATATTTTCTACATTGCCTAGTTTTCATAGTTTTGAACCAAGTGGCTAATCTTGAATTAAAATGTCTTCTCATGCCTCCTACCTGACTCACAGTCCAGGTCCTTCATGACTTGGCTCAAATATGCTGGAAAGCCAGCTGAAATTCAATCCCAGTTTGTAAGGCTTGGCAAAGTGTGCATTTGATTCCCTCAGCAGAGGACCATGGGGCCCAGATTTTCTGTGTTTGTGTTGTAGGCTTTCCCAAGTACAAGTTGACATCACCTTTCCCCAGGTTACATGTCTATCATCCCTGATATTGGTTACTACACTCCAGAGATAAATTAAAAATTCAGGGACAATGATAAATATGAAATTTTCTATAGTGTTTTCCAAAACGGTTAGTTTTTTACACCCTCCCTTTCCAGCCCCAGCCCTCACCCCAACAGCATTCTTGTGTGATCACACATCCTGTGACATACTGAAGGATTCACCACTCTCACTATCCTTCCTCTTCCAGTATTCCACAGTCCTGTGTGAAAGTCTACCAGGTACATAAAGACCAGAAGGACGTCTACAAAGTGTGTCACTCTCACAATTAAAGAAAGATGGTTTTCAGCATATTATTTCCCTGTGCTATGAGAGACCAGTCAAGGATATCTCACAATTTAAACCTCCTTTTCCTTTAAAAATATCTGCAGTTTCTTCAAGTTAACAGTGTGCCAGGGACTATTGGAATTTTAATTTTATGATTGCATTGCACTCCAAAGTGTCTTTCTAAATGAAATGACTTTAAAGTCCATGACAATAAAGCAAGTGAAAGAAAAATAGAGATGAATACAGGGTCATAAAGTATCAGAAAGCTATAACAAGGGAACCCCCTCTGGCTACCATAAAACTCAGTAGCTTGACCACAAAATTTTTCAAAAATCAAGAATAAATAAGAATCTAATAAATATCAAAGTAAAGTAAAAACGTCAAGTTGGAACTTCTATTTATCCAAGGAAAAATAATTTCCTATTTCTAGCACATAAATAAAATGCCTTGTGGATTCTAATTTTCACAAGGGTTTTAGCTCAGATTTTCTTGTTTCTTGAAGTAGTGATCCAAAATCTAACATTTCAAGAAATAAAATTTTAAGTAAAACTCAGTTTTCCTAGTTAATTTATAAATATTAAAGAAAACACAGGTCAATGGTGGCATATAGTACTTCTCATCCATGACTATTAATAGTTCAAAGTGTTAAAATTTTAAATGCAACTCAAAAATATGTTTCAGGGAGCTGGGGAGATTGCTCAGTAGGTAGGAGCACTTAACTGTACAAGCACAAAGACCTAATTTCATGTTCCAGGAATCCATAGGAAAGCCTGACATGACTGCAAGCAGACACTTGTAACCCTAACCTCAACACTGGGGGGTGAAGACACACAGATCCCAAGAGTTCATTCACCTACAATACCAAAATGTCGAGCTTCTGGTTTGTGAGAGGCTCTGCCTCAAGGAATTAAGACAGAAAGTGACAGAAGTCACTTGGTGGCCTGCTCTGACATCTACACAAAGATCTCTGATCTTACACAAATCTACATACAACAGGCACACATTCGTATGACACACGTACATACAATATACATCACACACACACACACATACACACACACACACAAAACAAAAAATAACCTTGATGTTTTTTGAGTGAGGCTAGATCAAATTAAAGGCCTAAAAGAGATAAATACTTGAAGCTGATGGAAAAAAATTGAAACTAAGATCACATTGGTTCCAGAGACTTTTTATATGCTTGGTAGGCTCCACATAAACCTTGATCAACTTGAAAAATACCATAACTAGAAAAACATTCAGGCTTTTGGAGACAAATAGAGCTGTGTGACTCCAAATGTATGATATCTTCACCCACTTCTGACTTAGGTAGACATGGCATACTAGCTGTTGGCCTGCTATCAAAACCACCCTGTTATCCTAATGACCTACTTACTTTGATGATCAAACTCCACTTAGTTATATGGTACTTTGACACAGTGGAGTATGTTGGAGAGCACTGGATGGAATAAATACTGCAACATACTCCATTACCATGCTTGCTGATGGTATGGTCCATTGTATCACACTATTTTATTTCAATCTCAGGATAAGTCTGGTCTTGACTGTGACATGGCTGCCATTCTCCTGAGTATATACTTTTGTCTTCTGGATTCTGAATTGCAGATTTTGTCCTGTTTCCCACTTTCCACTTCAAAATTGTCAGACTTTTGGAATCAAATATGTGATTTTCTTTCAGCCTGACTATGGCCTTATAATGACAAGAAATAAATTATTAAATCCTTGATTTACCATTTGTCCTCCATACCAGACTGCCAGTACTCATTTTCAATACATAGGCTTAGAAATATGGCAGAAGCATCATTTGCACACTCCTACTAAATAGAAGCAATTTTTTGTTCTCTAAAGGAGAAAGAGAAAAGCACACAGGGAAAATCCTTGCCTGTCATTCCCTAGTTGATCCCACCTCCTGGTTTCATTTCTTTGTTTTTTGAGACAAATTGTCTCATTGGCCTGGCACTCATCCAATGGGCTTGATTGGTTGGCTTGTCAGCCTGAGGTATCTCCTGTCTCCACCTCGCCAGGCCTAGGTTTCCAAGTGTGGACCACCATGGCTAGCTTATTTTATATGGGCCCTGGAATCAAATCCAATTCCTATGGTTGAACCATCC